AGGTGTCACACACAGGTGTCACACACACACAGGTCCAGGTGTCACGCACAGGTGTCACACACACAGGTACAGGTGTCACACACAGGTCCAGGTGTCACACACACACACACACACACAGGTGTCACACACAGGTCCAGGTTTCACACACACACAGGTCCAGGTGTCACACACACAGGTGTCACACACAGGTCCAGGTGTCACACACACAGGTGTCACACACAGGTGTCACACACACACACACACAGGTGTCACACACAGGTGTCACACACACACACACAGGTACAGGTGTCACACACAGGTGTCACACACAGGTGTCACACACAGGTGTCACACACAGGTCCAGGTGTCACACACAGGTCCAGGTGTCACACACACAGCTACAGGTGGAAATTCCAGGAGGAAATTCCAGGTCCGCGTCACCCGAGCACCCCAAACCCGGGATCCGGATCCGAGCCCCGAAATTCCGGGAATGATCCGGGAGCCGCTCCCGGAATTCCCCCCTGGAGCCCCTTCCTGGCCGAATTCCCGGGGTTTTTTTGGGATTTATCCCGATTTTCTGCCCCTTTCCCAATCTCCAGCTCATTCCAGACCCTCCTCCGAAGGCTCCAGGATTTATTAAATAATTAAAAAACGGGAAAAATTCCGGGGAACGGAAGGAAAAGGGGGAAAGGAGCGAGAGCCGGGCCAAAAACTGGGAATTACGGAGTGGGGGGGAGGCAGGGAGGGAATTTCGGGATAAACGGGAAATTTGGGATAAAAAGGAAAATTTGGGATAAAAAGGGAATTTCAGGATAAATGGGAAATTTGGGATAAAAAGGAAAATTTGGGATAAAAAGGGAATTTGGGATAAAAAGGGAATTTTGGGATAAAAAGGAAATTTGGGATAAAAAGGAAAATTTGGGATAAAAAGGGAATTTCAGGATAAACAGGAAATTTGGGATAAACGGGAAATTTGGGATAAATGGGAAATTTGGGATAAAATGGGAATTTGGGATAAACAGGAAATTTGGGATAAAAAGGAAAATTTGGGATAAAAAGGGAATTTGGGATTAAAAGGGAATTTGGGATAAACAGGAAATTTGGGATAAAAAGGAAAATTTGGGATAAACGGGAAATTTGGGATAAACAGGAAATTTGGGATAAAAAGGAAATTTGGGATAAAAAGGGAATTTGGGATAAAAAGGGAAATTTGGGATAAAAAGGGAAATTTTGGGATAAAAAGGAAATTTGGGATAAATGGGAAATTTGGGATAAAATGGGAATTTGGGATAAAAACGGAATTTGGGATAAAAGGGAATTTGGGATAAAAAGGGAATTTGGGATAAACAGGAAATTTGGGATAACCCGGAGTTCCCGGGACGGAGCAGGCTCAGTGAGGCGCAGGAATTCCCAATCCCGGCCGGATCGGGATCCGGGACACCGCCGCATTCCCGGATTTCGGATCCTGGAATTCCCGGAATTCCCGGAATTCCCGGAATTCCCGGCTCAGGGACCTGGGCACACCCGAATGTCCGAGAGCTCCTCGGTGCTCTCCAGCCTCAGGCCCTGGGAAAGGGAAGGAGAAGCCGGCTCTGGATCCGCTCCCTTTGGAATCCTCAGGGATAAATCCCGGGATTTGGGAGGAGCTGGAACCCCGGGAATTCCGGGAATTCCGGGAATGCCGGGAATGGCCTCTCACCTTCTCGTTGGCCAGGTGCAGGAGGCACACGAAGGCCAAGGGCACCGACAGGTTGGTGGCCATGGCGGGAGGGAGCCTGCGGAAAAACGGGAAGGGCTGGGATCCCTGGGATCCCTGGGATCCGTGGGATGGGATCCATGGGATGGGATCCATGGGATCCATGGGATCCATGGGATGGGATCCGTGGGATCCATGGGATGGGATCTGTGGGATCCATGGGATGGGATCTGTGGGATCCATGGGATGGGATCTGTGGGATCCATGGGATCCTTGGGACGGGAGCCCGGAAATCCCCATCCCATTCCCATTCCCATTTATTCCCATTCATTCCCATTCCCATCCCATCATCCCGAGGGATTTTCCCATTGTTATTCCCATTGTTATTCCCATTGTTACTCCCATTGTTACGCCCATTGTTATTCCCATTGTTACTCCCATTGTTACTCCCATTGTTACGCCCATTGTTATTCCCATTGTTATTCCCATTGTTATTCCCATTGTTACTCCCATTGTTACTCCCATTGTTATTCCCATTGTTATTCCCATTGTCGTTCCCGTTGTTATTCCTGTTGTTGTTCCCATTGTTATTCCCACGATTCCCGCTGTTATTCCCGTTGTTATTCCCATTATTCCCGCTGTTATTCTGGTTGTTATTCCCATTGCTATTCCCGGTGTTATTCCCACTATTCCCATTGTTATTCCCGGTGTTATTCCGGTTGTTATTCCCGGTGTTATTCCGGTTGTTATTCCCAGTGTTATTCCCATTGTTCCCAGTGTTATTCCCATTATTCCGGTTGTTATTCCGGTTGTTATTCCCGGTGTTATTCCCATTATTCCCATTGTTATTCCCGTTATTCCCAGTGTCATTCCGGTTGTTATTCCCAGTGTTATTCCGGTTGTTATTCCCAGTGTTATTCCCATTGTTCCCGGTGTTATTCCCGTTATTCCGGTTGTTATTCCGGTTGTTATTCCGGTTGTTATTCCCATTGTTATTCCCATTGTTATTCCCATTGTTATTCCCATTATTCTGGTTGTTATTCCCGATGTTATTCCCGTTATTCCGGTTGTTATTCCGGTTGTTATTCCCGGTGTTGTTCCCACCTGTGCAGCAGATCCCGGGTCAGCTCACTCAGGACTTTCTCTTCGGTCAGCGCCGTGTCCGGCCCTTCCCCGGCCCCTTCCTCCTGCTCGGGAACAACCGGGAAAATCCGGGAAAATCCGGGAACAACCGGGAACAACCGGGAAAATCCGGGAGCTGCCGAGCGCCGACATTCCCGGGAAAACCCCGGGAACGCTCAGCCAGCCGGGAACGGCGGCTGATCCATGGAACTGGGGCTCATCCATGGAATTGGGGCTCATCCATGGAATTGGGGCTGATCCATGGAATTTGGGTTCATTCCCATGGAATTTGGGTTCATTCCCATGGAATTAGGGCTGATCCCACAGAACTGGGAGGGAATGGCTGCAGAATTCCCGTCCGGAATTCCCGTCACTCCCGTCCGGAATTCCCGTCACTCCCGTCCGGAATTCCCATCATTCCCATCCGGAATTCCCGTCACTCCCGTCCGGAATTCCCGGAATTCCCGTCACTCCTGTCCGGAATTCCCATCATTCCCATCCGGAATTCCCATCACTCCCGTCCGGAATTCCCATCATTCCCATCCGGAATTCCCGTCATTCCCACCTGCTCCGTCAGCAGCTCCCACATGTTCCTCTTCAGCCTCCTCATGTCCATCCTCTTGGCGGCCTTGGCGTATTGGATCGGGATTTTATGGATCTGGGGGAGGGAATCTGGGATTATCCGGGATTATCCGGGATTATCCGGGATCGGCGCTGGGATCCGCTCGCGTCATTCCCGATTTTCCGTGGGAATAACGGAGAGAGCGGCCAGAGCCCCGGAGTTGATTCTCTGGGAATGATGATCCTGGGAATTCCGGGAATCCCAGGGATTTATTTGGGAATTGTTCCTCCGGGAATCCCGGGAATTAATCTGGGAGTTGTTTCTCTGGGAATGATGATCCCGGGAATTCTGGGAATCCCAGGGATTAATTTGGGAATTGTTCCCCTGGGAATCCAAGGAATTAATTTGGGAATTGTTCCTCCGGGAATCCAAGGAATTAATCTGGGAATTGTTCCTTGGGAATGCCAGGGATTAATTTGGGATTTGTTCCTGTGGGAATGACGATCCCAGGAATCTTGGGAATCCGGGGCTGTCCCGGGATTTTTAACCCTGGAGGTGCTGAGAGGTTTTTGCTCCAGCCCAGCCCAGGGAGGAATTCCCAGCCCAGCAGCTCCCAGTAATTCCCAGTAATTCCCAGTCATTCCCAGTCATTCCCAGCCATTCCCAATCCCTCCCAGTCATTCCCAGTCATTCCCAGTCCCTCCCAGTCATTCCCAATCCCTCCCAGTCTCTCCCAGCCATTCCCAGTCATTCCCAGTCCCTCCCAGTCATTCCCAGTCCCTCCCAGCCATTCCCAGTCCCTCCCAGTCTCTCCCAATCCCTCCCAGCCATTCCCAGTCCCTCCCAGTCCCTCCCAGTCACCTTCTGGGGCTCAGCGATCAGCTCCAGCTCCCCACAGCCCGGGATGTTCCCGCCGCCGATCCCGGAATTCTCCGGAGCCTCGGGATGAGCCGGGAGCTGGAAGAGCCCGGCCTGGCCCGGGAATTCCGTGGGATCGGGATCGGGATCGTCATCGCTGTCCGGGACCTGCAGGAGGGGCAGGGGGACACCGGAGTCACCCGGAGCCGCTCCGGAGAGCGGGAATTCCTGCCCGGATAATCCATGGAATTGGGGCTGATCCCATGGAATTGGGGCTGATCCATGGAATTGGGGCTTTTCCATGGAATTGGGGCTGATCCATGGAATTGGGGCTTATTCCCATGGAATTGGGGCTGATCCCATGGAATTGGGGCTTTTCCATGGAATTTGGGTTTATTCCCATGGAATTGGGGTTTATTCCCATGGAATTGGGGCTTTTCCATGGAATTTGGATTTATTCCCATGGAATTGGGGTTTATTCCCAAGGAATTTGGGCTGATCCATGGAATTGGGGCTTTATTCCCATGGAATTCCCAAGGATCTGGATTTTCCCAGCAGGGAATTCCCAGGCTCTGGAATTCCCGAGGATTTTCCTGGCAGGAATTCCCTGGAATTCCGGGATTTGGGAATCACCTGCAGGCCGGGACAGAAGTTGGAGGTGTCGTTGGGATTGTCGTAGTCGTAATCCTCGATGCCGGCCTCGCTCTCCAGGGCTCCCGCTGGATCCGAGCTCCGGCCGAGCTGCGGGAAAAAATTCCAAAGGATTTTCTGGAGAGGCTGGGCCGTGTCCCTGCAGCCCCGATCCCGCCTTTCCGGGATATCCCGGGATGATCCATGGGGTGGATCCATGGGAATGGTTCCATGGGATCCATGGGAATGGTTCCATGGGGTGGATCCATGGGAATGGTTCCATGGGATCCATGGGGGGAGCCATGGGAATGGTTCCATGGGATCCATGGGAAGGGTTCCATGGGATCCATGGGGGGATCCATGGGAATGGTTCCATGGGATCCATGGGAAGGGTTCCTGGGATGGATCCATGGGGTGGATCCATGGGAAGGGTTCCATGGGATCCATGGGAATGGTTCTATGGGATCCATGGGATAGATCCATGGGAAGGGTTCCATGGGATCCATAGGGGGATCCATGGGATGGATCCATGGGGGGATCCCTTGGAATGACTCCCTGGAATGATTCCCTGGGATGATTCCCTGAGATGATTCCCGGTGTGATTCCCATTGTGATTCCCAGATTCCCGCTGTGATTCCTGCTGTGATTCCCATTGTGATTCCTGCTGTGATTCCCGCTGTGATTCCCAGATTCCCGCTGTGATTCCCGCTATGATTCCCGCTGTGATTCCCGCTGGGATGTGATTCCCGTTGGGATGCGATTCCCGCTGGGATGCGATTCCCGGGCAGGCTCTCACGGTGACGCGGGGTTTCAGGAAGAGCTGGGCCAGGCTCCGGGGTTCGTAGTTGAAATCCGCGGGGAGCGTCGTGCTCCGGAGGCTCCGGCTGCTCCCGACGGATCTGCCCAGAGTCACCGAGACCTGCAACGGGATCCAGGGGAGGGATCCAGGGGATGGGATCCAGGGGAGGGATCCAGGGGAGGGATCCAGGGGAGGGATCCAGGGGATGGGATTTGGGATGGATCCATGGGATTGGATCCATGGGATAGATCCACAGGATGGATCCATGAGATGGATCCATGAGATGGATCCATGGGAATAGATCCACAGAATGGATCCATGGGATGGATCCATGGGATGGGATCCATGGGACGGATCCACGGGATGGATCCCTGGTAACGGATCCCTGGTAACGGATCCCTGGGAACGGGAATCTGCAGCAGCTTCCCGCGGGAATTGGGGACAGTCTGGGAAGGGCTGAGGTTGATCCCAGCTCCGGCAGGACAGCGGGATCTGCCCGGATCCCGGGAATTCCCCGCGGGAAAGGAGCTCTGAGGGTACCTTGGGCTTCTGGAAATGCGGCTGGAAGTCGACGTCCTCCTGGAAATCCAACTGGAAAAGTTTCCTGGGAATTCTCCGCCGGGAATCCTTCTCTGAGTCTGCGGCTGCTGAGGGAGGGGAGGGAGATGGGGTGGGATCCATGGGGTGGGATCCATGGGATCCATGGGATTTGGGATGGGTCCATGGGATTTGGGATTGGATTTGGGATGGGATCCATAGGATGGGATCCATGGGATGGGATCCATGGGATCCATGGGATTTGGGATGGGATTTGGGATGGGATTGGGATGGGATTGAGGTGGGATTTGTGATGGAATCCATGGGATTGGGACTGGATCCATGGGATTGGATTTGGGATTTGGGATAGGATTGACGGGATGGGATCTGGGATGGGATTTGGGATCTGGGATGGGATTTGGGATGGGATTTGGGATCTGGGATGGGATTTGGGATCTGGGATGGGATCTGGGATGGGATTTGGGATTTGGGATGGGAAGGAGCTGTCCCTGCCTGGGGCCTGGCCCTGCTCACTCCCAACCAAAACATCCCAAATGTCACCCAAGGACTGGAGCCCTTCCAGCCCAGAACCCTGAATTCCCTCCCAAAATCCTGGAATCCCAAATTCCCTCCCAGAATCCCCAATTCCCTCCCGGAATCCCGAATTCCCTCCCAGGATCCCAAATTCCCTCCCAGGATCCCGAATTCCATCCCAGGATCCCGAATTCCCTCCCAGGATCCCAAATTCCCTCTCAGAATCCTGAATTCCCTCCTGGAATCCCGAATTCCCTCCCAGGATCCCAAATTCCCTCCCAGGATCCCGAATTCCATCCCAGGATCCCGGGATTCCCTCCCTTCCCTCTCAGAATCCCGAATTCCCTCCTGGAATCCCGAATTCCCTCCCTTCATCCCGAATTCCCGCCCGGATTCCCGGGATCCCTCCATTCCCTCCCAGAACCCTGATTTCCCTCCCAGAACCCTGATTTCCCTCCCGGATTCCCGGGATTCCCGGGATCCCCGCGGGCGCTCACGGTGGCGTCGGGGCCGGAATCTCCAGTGCTGGGGCCCGGCCCACATGGAGAGCGTGCGGGGGCTGAAGTAGGAATATTCCCCGGGATGCAGCGCCAGGGACACGGAGAGCTCCAGCGGCCCCGCTCCGGAGGGAGCCCCCGCGCTCCTGCCGGGATCCGGGACCCCCCGTCAGCATTCCCGGGATCCCTGATCGGCATTCCCGGGATCCCTGACTCAGCATTCCCGGGATTCCTGCCCAGCATTCCCAGGATTTGGGATCCCATTGTGATTCCCAGGATTTGGGATCCCTGCTCAGCATTCCCAGGATCCGGGATCCCCCGTCAGCATTCCCGGGATTCGGGATCGGCATTCCCGGGATCCCTGATCGGCATTCCCAGGATTCCTGCTCAGCATTCCCGGGATCCGGGATCCCATTGTGATTCCCAGGATTCCTGCCCAGCATTCCCAGGATTTGGGATCCCTGATCAGCATTCTTGGGATTCCTGATCACCATTCCCGGGATTCCTGCTCGGCATTCCCGGGATTCGGGATCCCATTGTGATTCCCAGGATTTGGGATCCCTGCTCAGCATTCCCGGGATTCCTGCTCAGCATTCCCAGGATTCAGCATTCCTCCTGGGACTGGGAATTCCTCCTGGGATCAGGAATTCCTCCCTGGCACTGGGAATTCCTCCTGGGATCGGAAATTCCTCCCTGGGATCGGGAATTCCTGCTGGAATTTCCCCCCAGCCCCAATCCCAGCCCGGATCCCCGTTCCCACCTCTTGCCATGGCCGAGTGTCCCCAGGGAATTGCCGTTATCCCGGGAATCCTGGCTGCCGTCTCCGGCCGGAGAATCCGGCTGGAATTCCGGGGGGGAGGGGCCGCCCCAGCCCTCGCCGTCCTCGCTGTCGGGATCCAGGTTGGGATCGAACACCTGCTCGCTCCTGCGGAACTTCTCCAGGAGCGCCGACACCGAGAGCGCCGACACCGACTGCAACACAGCCATTCCACCGGGATCACCGGGAATTCCCAACGGGATCACCGGGAATTCCCAACGGGATCGGCGGGAATTCCCAACGGGATCACCGGGAATTCCCAATGGGATCGGCGGGAATTCCCAATGGGATCGGCGGGAATTCCCAACGGGATCACCGGGAATTCCCAACGGGATCACCGGGAATTCCCAATGGGATCGGCAGGAATTCCCACCAGGATCACCGGGAATTCCCAATGGGATCACCGGGAATTCCCACCGGGATCTCCGGGAATTCCCAGCGGGATCGGCGGGAATTCCCACCGGGATCACCGGGAATTCCCACCGGGATCACCGGGAATTCCCACCGGGATCAGGAATTCCCAGCAGGATCACCGGGAATTCCCACCCACCTCGTTGTGGGACTCCTGGTCCCAGGTGCTGAACTGGAATCCGGCCAGGGAGGAGCAGATCCGGCGTTTTTCCAGGCACGGGGCCAGCAGGGCTGCGGGAGGAGGGAGACGGGAATTCCCACCGGGATCGGGAATTCCCACCGGGATCAGGAATTCCCACTGGGATCAGGAATTCCCACCGGGATCGGGAATTCCCGCCTGGATCAGGAATTCCCACTGGGATCTGGAATTCCCACCGGGATCAGGAATTCCCGCCTGGATCGGGAATTCCCGCCTGGATCGGGAATTCCCACCGGGATCAGGAATTCCCGCCTGGATCGGGAATTCCCAAATGGATCAGGAATTCCCACCGGGATCAGGAATTCCCAACCTCCAAAATTCCCAGTTTTCCAGCAGGGCTCCAAGCAGCCAACAAACACACGGGAAAAGGCTGGGAAAATCTGGGAAAAGGCCGGGAAAAGGCCGGGAAAAGGCTGGGAAAAGGCTGGGAAAAGGCTGGGAAAAGGCTGGAATTGACCTCTGAGCGCGGGCACGACGAGGGGCCGGGAGCTGGGAGTCTCCGGGATATCCGAGGAGGGCAGCGGGATCAGCTCCGACGGGAAAAGGAGGCGGCTCCGGAACGTCCGGGAGCGCAGCCCCGGCAGGAAAATCCCGGCCGTGCTGCACTCGTCAAAGGAAGCAGCGGCTCTCTGGAACATGGGATCCACCTGGAATGTGGGAATGGGAATCAGGGAATGGGGGGGGAATGCGGGAATGGGTTGGGAATCAGGGAATGGGGGTGGGAATGTGGGAATGGGGGTGGGAATC